TGGTCCCACAGCCACAGTAGGAGCTGTTTCAACYGAATTGATGGAAAACCATGCTTCCTCCCTCCTCCTCCTCCTCCTTTTCCTTCTTTCCTCTCCAGCAGAGATGGGCTGACAGAGCTGTTCAGCCTGCAGAGGAGAAGGCTCCAGGGAGAGCTCAGAGCCCCTTCCAGTGCCTAAAGAGGCTCCAGAGAGCTGGAGAAGGACTTTGGACTAGGGATGGAGGGACAGGACAAGGAGGAATGGCTTCCCACTACCAGAGGGCAGGGTTAGATTGGATATTGGGAAGAAATTGTTCCCTGTGAGGGAGGTGAGGCCCTGGCACACGATGCCCAGAGAAACTGTGTCTGCCCCATCCCTGGAAATGGTCCCGACCAGGCTGGAYGGGGTTTGGAGCAACTCAGGACAGTGGAAGGTGCCCTGCTCATGGCATTGGGGTGGAATGAAATGAGATTTAGGGTCCCTTCCAACCCAAACCATTTCATGATTCTCTGAAGGGGCACAACCCCATGGCTCCCTGGCTGCAGAGAAACAGGAGCAGAAAAGCAGAGCCACATTTTGGAGGCTGCTCCAATTAAAGGAATTTAAAGGAAATTAGAAGAAACAACCAACAGCACCTTCAGCCTCAGCAAATCCAGCTGCAGYGCTCGGCTTTGCCTCTGGCTCAGCAGAAAGGCAGAGATAACAATAAACCCCTTCTCCCACCTTCTGCCTGTCCTGATTAGACAGACTGCAGCGGGTGGGGCTGTCGTTATTCTGTGCTTGTTCCGTGCCTGGCACAAAGCAGCTCTGATCCCAGCTCACAAACGACAGCTCTGACAAGAAGCTGGTGGAGGTCACAAGCCCAACCTCTGCCACCCCGGGAGCGACCAGTGCAGCCTGTGGAGTCAGCACTGCCTCCCTCACGGACTGTGTGTCAGGAGGATGGATCCCAGCTGAAAAAGGAGGAATTTCCAAGCTCCATCCTTGCCATGCTTAGGAATGCCCCACATCCACGGAGGTTTAGGCTGGGTATCAGGAAAAGGTTCTTCACCCAGAGGGTGCTGGGGCACTGACCAGGCTCCCCAGGGAATGGGCACAGTCCCGAGGCTGCCAGAGCTCCAGGAGTGTTTGGACAATGCTCCCAAGCACAGGGTGGGATTTTTGGGGTGTCCATGCAGGGCCAGGAGTTGGACGTGATGATCCTTGTGGGTCTCTTCCAGCTCAGGATATTCCATGATTCTATAATCCACCAACAGTTACATCATCAGCTGTTTTGGGAGCCCATATGGGTATCCCCTCAGTGTTAGTGTAACTAATAACTAAAATCAGTAACTAATAGCTAAAATCAGTAACTAATAGCTAAAATCAGTAACTAATAACTAAAATCAGTTTGTTGATGTTCATTTAGCAGAACTGCACCATTGCTGACAGAGAGGGCACTGTGTGAGAGCAGCCATTCCCGGGGGCAGGGATCCCTTCCTCTGCTCCCCTCCACACAGAGGGGTTACTCCAGCCAGCTGCAGTGCCTCTGCAGCATCCAGGATGGATCCCAGCATGTTCCTGCCTCATCTCACCCCGCCACAGAGATGCCACACGCTGACACCTGTCCTGACTGGTGCCTYTCCCCGCATGCAGTGAGGGTAAACCTATGCAAGAACCATGAAAAACACAGGAGGGAAAATCAGGGCTTTTCTCTCAGGGGTTTAAGTGGGTGTTTTCAACTCTACCCCAGTCAGAGCCTCACTGAGGTGCAGTGGTGGGGTGAAGGGTGGCAGGGTGGGGGAGAACAGCCTCAGAAAAACCCCTACAGTGGAACCACAGCTTCTCATACATGTCACAATGTGGATTTTCAGCTTGAGCACACAAGGCTGAGCTCAGGGGACACTGTCATGTAGATTTAGAGTTTTATCTCCTTTCCTCTCCATTAGCTGTGATACCTTCTTATTATGCTGAAACCCAAAACTTTTCCTTCCTCCAGTGATTGTTCCCTTCCCCRTTTCACAAATATCGATCTCTCCGTGTCCTCAGCATGGGACACATCTCCCCTCATCCTCAGCCTGCTCCTGGGGTTGATTGCGTGGCAGTGCCACCTCTCATGACATCAGGGACCAGAGTGAAGGACAAGGAGGGGGATGTTCATCCATTACACGTGTTTTTCTCTCCCCATCCTCTCCCTCCGTGCGCTGGAAGTGACAGGGAACTGAACAGGAAGGGGCTGATTGTGCTTGGCAGGTGGAGAGGGAATGGAAGGAGCAGGGGGGAAAAGAGCAGCCCAGGATAACCATGAACTTCTCCCAGCCTTGTTTCACATTCACATCCTGCAGCACCTTGGGCCACAGCTCTCCAGGCAGGGGACCAAAAGCTGGGGGCTGTCCTGTGCAGGAGGCTGCCCCCACTTACCTTGGGGTGTGATTTTAAGCCAATTTAATTAAACTGCTTGGCAAGGTTGCAADGACTCATCTATTTCAGCTTGAGCCAGGCCTGTTTTGATTTAGTGTTGGCTGATTAGGAATTAGTGGAAACAAACCGCTCAGAAAACAAAATTAGAGGGTGCACGCTAACTTTTGCACCAGATTAAGTTGAATTAAAAAGCAATTGAAATGTAATTTTCCTGTCTCAAGCAGCCAAGAAACAAGATAATGCAACCAGTGGCACTTGAAGCTTAAAATCACAGCAGCCAGGATTAGCACAACWGGCATTTTAATGCCTACAAACAACAGATTTATCTGAAGGTCTTTTCTCAAACCTCCCCTATCACCTTCCACATAAAGCTGTGTACAACTCATTTTATTTGCCCTGAAATGCAGAGTTGGTGTGACCCCAGGAATTGAATCCACCACTTGAAGCAGCCAGGGCATTGCACAGCATGTCTCCATRGGTATTCCCATGCTGGGCAATGCTAGTGGTTCCCTGAACTGCCATAATCGAGAATTTGGGTTGGAATGGCTCTGAGTGCACAGCTGGAAGGTGCAGACCCCAGTGGTGGGTGCTGTTCCAATCTGCATCCCATCATCACCTTCCTGCAGCTCTGCTCCCTATCTCCCTCGTAGAAAAAGATGTCAAGTAGTTTGAAGTCAGAGTTTAATTAAATATTTTAATTGCTGCTTTCCTTACCCATTTGGGAAACACTGTTCCTCCCTTCCCCATCACCTGGACCAGTCTGGCACACACACAGAGAGGGTTTTATGGGGCTTTGCTAAAAAGGGTAATGGTGTGGATGCAAAGCCAGGGTACCTTCAACACCTCAGAGCCCCCAAAAGTATCCACAGTGCTGCAGCCAGGCCCTGCTGCAGTGGTTATTTGGGGCCAGGGAGCTGCTGTCCCGTTRGCTGGAGCAGCAAGAACAGGACTGGGGCAAGGGCTCCATAAATGAAAAGATCTCTTGCCCAATGGAGACTGTCATGAGCACAGAACACAGCAGTTCATGAGCTGCCCAGCAGCTCCTGGCCAAAAGCTAAAGGATTCATGGAGATAATGGGYTCCTGCTGGGTTTCTCTCCTCRCCACCTCCCTCCTGTGCCAGCCAGCAGCTCAGCGCCTGATGATGCTCCAAGTTTCTTAATCCTGCCTTGGCTCACTTGCAGCCTCTATTGCAGCTGATTCCTCCTGGCTCCATGGTCCTGGGTCCCACTGACAGAAGGAGGTGCCCTCCTGACCTGCAGCACCACCCACAAGCTACCCAGATCTAAAAAGGGGCACCCCCAGACTGCCTGTGCCCTGCAGTGATGGGGTGGCAGAGCCCAGACTGCCCCCACGTCCCAGGACATTGTGCAGGTACAGGATGGCATCAGCCACAGAGGGCCAAAAACAAGGCCAAAATTGGAGAMGATCTGGTGATTAAATGGTGGCCCAGGCACTCTACTCCAGGTGCATCCAATTGAGGGAGCAGGTGCAGATAATGGGGGGGCTGTCCTGGGAAAGGCCAATCGTGGAGGGGAGCTGGGGGTGTGTGGCCCCATGAGGGAAATAAAAGAGGCAGTTGAGGGTGGTGGGGCATGAGGCAGAGTTGGGGGTAAGTGGTTTTTTTCCTTTCATTGAGGGTGGTGGTTTGTTTACCTATAATCCCCAAGGAGGTTGCTGGCTGGGCTGTCCTGGCTATTTGGGGCTCTGCTGGGTCTCCTGTTTGGTTGGTGTCTGTGGAGGGGTTGTGGTGCCCTTCTGTTGSGGTGGGGTGGAGAAAGTTTCCCCAAAAGATGAGGCTTTCTGGGGTGTTCGGCTCTGTTGGGGGAACAAAGGAGGGGAGGCTGGAGGGACCCTTAAGGTTTGAGTGTAAGGATTATGGATATGGGAGGTGCTGTGTTGAGTCAAAAGGTGGTTCAGTCTGACCCTTCTGGAAGCTGGAGGAGGTCTGYAGTGGGTGGATGGATTAAGAGCTGATGCTGCCTGGCCTTGGTTGCTGGGAGAGGATGAAAAAAGCCCACAAAACCTTGAACTTTAAATGACAGTGTCAGAGAGCCCTTGGAGGCTGCTCTGAGCTGCCAGTGCTGGCTGTGAGCCTGGAGGGGAGGGCAGRACAGGAGGCACCATCTGTGTGGGATCAACTCCTGAGTGTGTTGATGCACAACCTGGGTTTAGGGGTTCCATGATGGTGTCTGTTCTGAAAATACCTCCACTTCTGCTGGCTGAAAGCCTTGTTTTTTTTTTCTGGCAAAAGCTGTTTTAAGGCCAGCTTTTGGCTTATTTGTGTATATGTCTCTGATTTTTACTAGGAGGTGCTTATAAATTGTTTTTACCTGTCCCTATTTTGTTGTTYACCTGGCAGTCTATACTACTTGCTGGGTTTCCAGGAGAACTCCTTTTTTATCAGCTGAACTTGGTAATTTCATGTCCCTACATGTGACCATGGGTCATTCCTAGCTGTGGGTGCTGATGGAGTGATGGAGGCTTGGATGTGGCTCCATGTCCTTAAATCAGACCTTGAGCTGCTCCTTTTGGAGTCAAGAGGCCTTGCAAGGCTTGGGTTGTGCGTYRAAGTAAATGTTGAAGTCCCAGGATRAGGGCTGGAGRAAGGGGGTGTCCCTGTGACCATGGGGAGTCTGTCTGGCTTCCTCCTGGCACTGCAGCAGCTGTAATTTTTGTAGCCTGATGTTAAGTGGTGCTTTGTGCTTGTATTTAGTTCAGTRGCTCAGCTGCAGCATGTGGGGATCCTACCAAGCCCTGCTTGGGGCAGAGGACTTTCAGTGCCTCCCTTCTGAGAATGTGGGGTGGAAATGTGTGTCCCAGGCTGCTGGTGGRAGTGAGGGGTCCCAGYSCCCTCCGAGGCTGGGCAGCTGTGACCTGACCCTGCTCTGTCCTCACCCCCAAGAGCACGAGAGGGTGTTGAGCACCTCTCAACCCTGCCAAGATGCCGATCATGAAGCACAGACAGCACATGAAGATGTTCAAGAACAAGGGCAAGGATGAAACTGTGAGTACCCACCTGCYTGTGCCAGCACCTTGGGACCCCAGCACAGCCCACTGCCAGCAGGAGATGATGGAGAGGCTTCTCCAGGTCCATGGCCCCAAATCTGGCTGTGTGAGGGAGCAGGGGAATGGCTCTGGATCCCTTCAGCTGGGAGGTTTGGGTGGCTTTAGGGATGTGSTGTGGGGCTGGCTGGGCTGCAAGGAGTGTGGTGGCACAGGAGAAGGGGATGTGAGTTTTGGGTGGGTGATTTGGGCTGGGGAAGGGAGRTGGCTCAGCCCCAGCCTGCTGAGCTCTCCACAGTGTTATCCCTGTGGAGCTGGGGCTGGTGTGGGGTGTCAGATGTGGGATCTGTCAGCTTGATTTAAGCTAGTAGAGGAGATGAGGGTTTGCCTTTCAGGTTCAGAAAATCTACTTTTAAAAACACCCACTGGTTGCTGGTTCATCCAGCAGCCCGTGTCCTCGGGAGGCACTGAGGGAGAGGTTTCCTCTGTCCCATCTCCTCATCACCCTCCAGGCCATGGTGAGGAGATGCTGGCCCTGCACTCCTCCCATGGGAAAGGTGGGGCAGAGGGCTGAACTCCCTGGGGARTGGGGCCATGCAGACACGGGTGGGATGGTGCCCTTCTTCCCCCAGACCCTGCGGAGGCAGAGGGTGGAGGTGAGCATCGAGCTGCGCAAGGCCAAGAAGGATGAGCAGATCCTGAAGCGCAGAAACATTTCCATGCAAGTGAAGGAGGGGAATCCCTCTCAGGGACAAGACAATGCAGAGCAGGTGAGTGCTTGGTGCTCTGCACCTGGGCAGGATCAGCACARCAGGGATCATCCTTTACTTGGGCTGATACCAACTCCAGCTGGGGTGACCGGGATGAAGCAGCTGGTGCTGTCCCTGACCTCCATGCCCAGTGCTGGGGAGTGTTTCAGGCTGTCTGCCCTTTGTCTGTGCGGTTTTTCATGGTGATGTCCTGCTGGCCTCCCTTGATGGCAGGTAGAACAGGCTGGAGCTCTGGCTGGCTGGGAGCAGCTCCTGTCTGGCTCCCTGCACAGCCAGGGGTAATTACTGAGCTTGCCGGCCCATTATGGTGTCAGTGACTCTTTCAGTGCTTGATTACAAGCATTAGTTGCCTTAAAGGCTTTTGTGGATTCTCCTCCTCTGCCTCATCTCGAAACTGTGTTGCATAAAGAATAGACACTACTTAGATATGAAGTGGTGACTGAGTCGGGTCTAGACGGCTGATTGACTGCCGAGATTAAACCGGAGGGAGTCCCGGCTCCCAGTCTGACTCTGAATCATTCCCTGTGACACAGATTATTCAGCCGTCCTTGGAGGAGATCGTGGAAGCCGTGAATGGGAATGACACCCAGCTGCAGCTGCTGGCCACCCAGGCTGCCAGGTACGAGCCGACTGCCGGAGCTGTGCCTGCCTGGGGCAAAAGGCCACTGGTTCCTGTTTGAGGAGCTCTCTGGAGAGATGGCGAAGGGAGAAGGAGCCTGGTAACCCAAAGAGCCCCAGGGAATCTCAGCTGGTGCCTGCTCTGTGCCCTGTGTGAACCCACACGAGGGGWTGGCTGTGCTGCCCCGTGCTGTATCTTGGGACCATGCTGGATCCCACAAGAGACTGAGTGCCAAATGCTTGGGCAGGACAAGCACTGGAGAGCCTGGCTCTGTGAGGGGTCAGTGCTGAGCAGGGCTGTCCCCACAAGGGTTGGGGCATGAAGGACCACAGGGTGCCACCATCACCCAGCTGGCAGCAGGGATGTCTCCTGAGGATCCAGGACAGGCTGCATCCCTGCTGGTGCTCCCTGTGCTGGCTYGAGCTGTTGTACCAGTGATCTGGGACCAGCACCTTTCCCAGTGAGTGTGGCTGTGAGGATGTCAGGGTTTTGCTCCCAAAGGACACCCTGCTGTTGCTTTAGCATCTGTAGCTGTGTCTTYCCCCTGTATGGCAACCCCTTTGCTGGGGGTTTGTTGTGGTGGGATGCTGACCCATCGATGCTTCCCCTGCAAGCCACAACCTCRTGCCCAGCTACGGGCTGTGGTGGCACCACGCAGGGTTCCTCATGGCTGGCTGTGCTGTGTCCTCTCTCACAGGAGAATGCTGTCCAGGCATAAGGACCCCCCCATCAGYCAGATCATCGAGCTGGGGATCATCCCCAGGATGGTGGAATTCCTGGGCCGTGCTGACAACGCTGCCCTGCAGTTTGAGGCAGCCTGGGCACTGACCAACATCGCCTCTGGYACCTCGGAGCACACCAGGGCTGTGGTGGAGGGAGGTGCCATCCCAGCCTTCATCTCCCTGCTGTCCTCCCCACACATGCACATCAGTGAGCAGTCCGTGTGGGCTCTGGGCAACATTGCAGGTGAGGGGGGCCTGGAGGGGACCTGAGACTGTGCCAGGGACTTGATCCTTGTGGGCTCCTTCCAGCTTGGAATATTCTGTGATTGTGTTGGGGAGATAAAGCTTTGGTGCTCCTCTCCTTGCAGCTTTGTCTCCAAGCTGCTGCCCCTATTGAACCCCATAACCCTTAAGCTCCTTGGCATGGCCTGGCAGCCTTTGAGATCTTATAATGGCTCTGCAGGAGGATTTTGGCCAAAGCCAAGGGCAAGACTCTGTCCTGCTGGGGTGATTTAACCCACTAATGTCACCATAGGGAGAACAGAATGGGTCATGCCTGGCTGGTCTGCCCCCACCCAGCCACGCTGGCACTCCAGTCTGCCCAGTAAACCCTTCCCACCTGGAAATGCCTAATGGTGGGTGTCTAGTGGGTCATCCAGCCCTGACTCTGCAAGTCTGATTGCTGTTTGATGTTAACTGTCTTGTGACTTGAGCAGATGAAATAACCAACCCTTTTTATCTGTGCAGGGGATGGCCCCTTCTACAGGGATGCTCTTATTTCTCGTGATGTGATTTCTCCCTTGCTGGCTCTGGTGTCACCTGCAACTCCAGTAAATAACCTTCATTTCCTTAACAGCTCTTAATCCCYTGGGTGATGGGTGAGTCTGTTGCCTGCCTTGTACACAACAACTGTTTGTATAATTGGATGTGACCCTGCTCTAAACTGCTTTCATGGCCCTGCCTATGCACAAAGCTGGGGATGCYAAGGAGACACTCCAGGTCAATGTGATCTCTTCCCTCCTTGGCTTTCTTATCCTTCTCTGACTATCTCAGGCTAGGAATAAGATGAAACTGGTGCAAGGCAGACTTGCATATGCATGTGGAAGGGCTGAACTTGCCCTTCAAGCTTCCTCCTGCTGCTTTGTGGCTTGTCTCTACCCTTCTGCAATGTTTCCTGCCCCGCTGCTCTCTGTCTCGGGTGCATGAGAGCCTTCACAGGATAATGGGGACCGAGAAGCTCTCGGGGGCAGCAAGGGTCTCACAGCTGCCTTGTGTTTCAGGTTGGGTTCCTGAGGAACATCACCTGGACACTGTCAAACCTGTGCAGGAACAAGAACCCCTGCCCTCCCTTGGATGCTGTGAAGAAGATTCTGCCAGTCCTCATCTCCCTTCTGCAGCACGAGGACAAGGATGTCATCTCTGACTCCTGCTGGGCCCTTTCCTACCTGACTGATGGCTGCAATGAYCGCATCCAAGTTGTGGTGGACACAGGGATTCTCCCACGGCTTGTGGAGCTCATGGACAGCCCAGAGCTGATTGTCATGGTAGGGAGAAATCAGTAATCTCACCCCTTAATGCGGAAATGTCTGAGGAGAGGGAAGGCACATGTCCTTGTTCTATATGGCACCTGTAGCCCACAGAACTCATTGCTGGCTTGTCCAGCCACTGCTCTGCTCTGCCTGCTGTGGCTGCAGGCTGAACAGAGACTCTAAAGCTGCTTAGAGCAAACAAGGGGGTGGTGGAGCTGTAAATAAACTCTGATCACCCACAATGCTCTCCTTGTGTGAAGGATCAAGCACTTAGTGAGGGATCTTGCTGGCCTTTCTGACATGTATCCCTTGAGGTAAGGACTCTCCTCATCCCCTCTAATCTCTGTCTAGACTCCAGCTCTCCGTGCCATCGGGAATGTGGTCACAGGCACAGACCAGCAGACCCAGGAAGCCATTGATGCTGGTATGCTGACTGTCCTGCCCCGGCTGCTGAGGCACATCAAGCCAGTGATCCAGAAGGAAGCAGCATGGGCTCTCAGCAACATTGCAGCAGGGCCTTGCCAGCAGATCCAGCAGATCATCAACTGTGGGTTACTGCCACCTTTGGTGGAGCTGCTTGACAAGGTAAGGGATGTGCACAGCGCTGCTGCAGGGGGARAGTGGGGTTTAGGAGGCCTGGGATGGGTCATTTGTGAAGCACTTGGTCCCAGAGCCAGCTGAGCAGGCTGTTTCAGAGCTGTTGAGATCCTTGGGACAGCCTGGCCATCCTGATTTATCAGTGGACCTGCATGGAAACACATCCTGGAGCTCTGCCAGGTGTCCCTGCATCACCCAAAGGGAAAGGAGTCAGCCCAAGCTGAGTRTGAGGGAAATGATCATCCTCACACWGATCCTACAGGGATGCTAAAGCTTGGGAATTCCTCTGCTCTGCTGCTCTTCCAGGGTGACTTCAAGGCTCAGAAGGAGGCTGTGTGGGTTGTGGCCAACTTCACRACTGGAGGAAGAGTGGAGCAAGTGGTGGAGCTCGTGCGTTCTGGGGTCCTCAAACCTCTGCTCAACCTGCTCTTGGCCAAAGACAGCAAGACCATCCTGATCATCCTGGATACCCTTTCAAATCTCTTCCTGGTAAGGTCTGATCATCCTGATGCCATTTTTAAATCTCTTCCTGATAAGATCTCTTATCTTTTGACTTCCTTCTCCAAAAGAGCAGTAAGGAGCGAGCCAAATGCTTGCACTGTGTGGTTACAACGAGTGCTGATTTTTGGAGTAAGAGAGAGAGTTCATGTTGTCTAAATTGCTCTTGCCAAGCCCTTTAGGCAACTCAAGGGTAGCCATGATTAAGTTCCCAAAGTATTGCTCTTCACCTCTTCCTCACTGGTTTGGTTGGCAGGGACTGGTACTCCATGGRCACCACAGTCATACCCTGGCATCAGGGAGGGACCAAAATTCAGGGCCTGTGACCCTCTGACTTGTAGATCAGGGTTGGAATTGCAGCAGAGGCCATCTCAGACCTGTTACTGATGTTCTGTTTTCCTGCCTGCCTTTCCAACRTGACAGGCAGCTGAGAAGCTGGGGGAGACAGAGAAGTTGTGTCTGCTGGTGGAAGAGCTTGATGGTCTGGAGAAAATWGAAGATTTGCAAAACCATGAGAATGACATGGTCTACAGAGCTGCTGTGAACATCATAGAGAAATACTTTTCTGGTGAGGTATGTGAGCCCTTGCTGTTTCTCAGCTGGAAAGATGAAGCTATTACACATTGGAATGAAGTACAGAGTTTGAGTATACTGGAAAAGGTTTTTGGAGGAGACCTCCACATGACCAGGGTAGTCCTTGCAGCTTCTTTCAGCTGCTTTTAGAGGTCTGTAAAAGCTCCAAGTTGTCAGCCAATGAGTTGCACAACAGACAGGGGATGCCTCGATAGCATCTTGCTSCTGGAATTTAAACTGGCATCAGCTGGAGTTACTGCAGTTACTGATATGAATACCAAATGTGGAGAAGTTTCCTCCTTTGGAGCTGAGCTGGCTTGTCACTATGAATGGCAGCCTCCTACTYAGCTGATAACACTGCTCAAGTTGCATTTGGTTTACTTGACCCTTCTCATGGTAAGGAATCTGTGGAAAAAGAGGATGGGACACCAGCTAGGAGCTGTAAGGGTCCAATGACTGTCACAGATGCCATGTTTGGTCCTAGCTTYAGACTTGCAGATGGAAAAGCATCAGGGAAGAGCTTAGAGGGTCTGTCAGGCCTTGGAGCYGTGGCTCAGTTTGGGTGTGAGTGCAGCAGGGGCCAAAGGTCTGCTTTAGTCCTTTGCCAGAGCAGGGTCTGGGGGGTGCCCCTGCAGGAGAATGTGGAGGAAATTCTCCACACCAGCTCCTGCTGGAGGGACTGCATGCCAACATCTCCCTAAGCAGTCCTGGCTTGTTGCTGTTCCAAGCAGGCCATTTAATTCAAGTGAGTTCTGCCACTGCAGCCACTTTTTTTTTTTTTTCTTCTCCCTCTGGTGTCTGAGCCCCAAGGCTTGGCTGCTTTTTGTGTGTGGGCTCCAGGGACAGCTTCAGGGTGCTGCAAGGATCAGGAAGGCTTGGCCTTGTCTCTGGGAGTTCTGTTACAGTCAAGCTGAGCTTAGCAGCTGGATTTTTAAAACMAGAATAAAACAGTTGTTGTAAAAAMCTTATGTTTRTACAAATGCAGAYCCTATAACTGATTGCTGTATTTTCCTCCCAGGACACCACAGACCTGGAGCCCCAGACAGGCCCGGATGGGCTGTATGATTTCTCAGTGGAGMATCAAGACTTTGACTTCTGAAGATGAAGCACAACACAGCTCTAAGCTGGTGGTGGAGGTGACTTGGAAGAGCTCAGACATCCAAACCATGAGGWGTAGAGATGCTGAGCCTTTTTACTTCTGAAACTTGTCAATAAATTGCACTTTTGGCTTTGTACCTCTTGCCTTTTTTCCCTTCCTTTAAGCTGCTTTTGCAAATGACATAGCTTGTTTTTTTTTCCCAATAGCATCTTAAGGCCTTGCAGAAGTGTGTTGGAGCCCCTGGGCACATTTTCTGGCTAAAAACTTAATTCTAAGTACATTGAAGTGCTGGAGAGCAGCATCCTACCACCCAATCCTTGTGCTGAAACTTCTAGGCTTGACTTGGGAGTGGCTGAAATAGCTCTGAAGAACTRTTGGAGAAGTGTTTCACCCTTCTGCAGGCACCATCACCTCTGTGTGCAAGGAGATGAGGAGGATGCAAGAGGAGCTGAGCCAGGGGAAGGCAGGTCAGGGTCCTTGCTGGGTGTTATTTCACCTGGAAGCACTGCAGTGTGGATGTTGGAGTAAATGCTTGTCCCTTTGGAAGGAAAGGTGTTTGAGCCAGTGCAGGAGGGATGATTCACCTCTGCTGCAGTTTCCCTGCTGCCGTCCATCAGCCTGGAGCCCATTGATCTGGCTCTGCCCTTTAGTTCCAAATTTAATTTAATTTAATTCCAAGGACCTGTATTTCAGGTTTCCATTGTGTCCCTGCCCCTCCATGTGTGGTCTCCAGCAGAAGGTGAGGATGGAGTTGAGTCCAGGGCACGAAGGTTTTGCACTGTGGGTTCACAACACAGTGCTGGACACTGCTCCATCCTTGCTCTGTTGATCCTTCCCCAACCCTTTGTGTTTCCCAGGGCTTGAAGCATATCCAAGGCTTTGCTTAAGGCAAGATGAAGAGGGAGCAGCTTTCTCTCCCTGCTTTGAGGGGTTTGACTTTTCAAAATGACCCAGGGTGTGGTCTCAGGGCTTTGCTTCCTCAGGGAAGGATGGTGAGGTGACAGAAAACTTAATCTGAAGGGAAAATCTCCCTCAGCCCTGGATTTGTTCATCAGAGGATTTATGCATTTCTCCTGCAGGCCACCCAGGGAAGAGGGAATTGGTTG